CTATATGCAATGAGGATAGAAATTTTTATTAAAATTTAAAATAATTATTATAAAGAACTGATTCTGTTTGTATTTTACCTCAGGCAGAAAGTAAGCACTTTTGTTTCTGGTATCTGGTTGGGAAATAGAATCTCAAAAGAATAGCAAAAGAAGAATTTGCGTCATCACCACATCATCCAATTAATGTAAGAAAAAGAATTCACGAATCAGAGAATCATTTACGATTTGCAAAGCATGTCAAGGTATAAGATCATTAAGTATTTTGAATTATTTTAATGCTCATCACTTAACTACAATTTGTTAGGCCAGTTTAAAACCAGATAATGAGTTTAATAAATTAATTGAAGCAGTTATAAGTTCTGATTTGGAACAGTTACCTGAAAATGAACTGCTCTGAAGTTGGCACATCAATACCGATACTATCCCGCCGTTGTGTTTGATCATTTTCTATCTGAGTTCAAACAACTTTATATAATTAATGATAAATATAGATTTATTCTTCCTGATGATGCTAAAATTTGGTTTGAAAATAGTTGGGAGTCTCATACGAATGATTTAACATCACCGAACCTTAACAAACTAAAGTATAACAAGAGAGACGAAATATTTTTTTTACAAATATTATGCAGTATGTGAGTATTTAATTTTGGATGTTTTTATTAGACGCAATTCTGACAAAGATTTATTTTAGTCAAAATATATTCTTGAAATATAAAGATATATCCATAACAAAAATTTTAGAGAAAACTTGGTTAACAGATACAATTCATCAATTTTTAGAAGCTGCTGTGCGTGATATTTCTGGGCTGTCTGTTTATTTGTAAGTGAGAAAAATTAATTTGGCATATAATGAAGAATTCTTAACCATCTAATATCTATACATTTTAGCACATGTGCTACTCTTTTGAAACACCTCAGAAATAAAGAAAATTGTAAACCAGACAGAACTGTAAGATTGAAACTTGAAGACAACCAGTTCGAAATTCTATATGTAGAAGATGCTAACCCAGAATTGAAAGGAAAAAAGTGTCAAGAAGATGCAGAATGACTCCAGCAGCTTATAAAACTAAATCTTGACGAACTTCTAAAAGACTTTCAGCATACATATGAAAATAAAATAAATGAAGACATTGCGAAAAAAATTTATGATAACCCCTTATTACAATTCAATCTACTCGTAGATATTATTTTTTAAGTTTATTATCCAATTAATTTATTTTATAATTTATAATTTACTCACCAACATGAATATTTTTTAGAAACATCATTAATTTCGACAATTAGTAATAGGAAAGCTCACCCAATGATATGCACTACTACTTTCCACAATATCAAAATACTATTCCCAACTAAAGATCACGTGCTACAACTGTCCAAAAGATTGAAATTAATTTCAATGATATAGGAAATTCGAAATGTGCTAAAAATTATTGTAAATAATTAGAAAAACATTTTAGATAGCATGGAAGAAATAACAATAATACCAGCAGAACAACGAGTAAAAATTGATGAAAATATTTCTCAATTTAGAAACTTCACTTCCGGGCATTGTCAACCAATTCAATACTCTTATAATTAAATAAGCAAATTTTACTTTTTAAATTTATTAAATAAATGACTGTTAATTAGAATTGTCATAATGATCTAACAAAAACCAATATATTACTTTTAATGTAATAATTGCTCTGATACAACTAAAATTAATTAATTATGCACTTTCAGACCAGAAAGAAACGTGTAGTTTTCGAACTAAATCTGGCAGGTAATAGTAAAGAAATATAATTATAATCAAAAGAATCTCTGGAACAAGAATTTCTTTTAAGTACTATATATTCTGCTTGTTAAAAATTAATATAAAAAAAATTAAATGAATTTTCTTACTGAGTTTTTGAATTTTTTTTGTTAATACTAAATAATTAGTAAATAATTTCGCTATTATTCTTACATAAGCATCAGGAAATGCATTTTCATAATATTTAATAGCAATGTTCTTTGAAAATGTCTGATATGTGGCCTCTTTAAACCAACGTAACGTAT